GAGTTGTCAGATACCACGAGGTGCCGTCAGTGGGAATATTACAATCTAAGGTGATTCTTCACTGCAGTTCTGAGGGAAAATATTATTATTGGAGGTGTTGTCTTTTGGATGAGACATTAAACCAAGGAACCATTTTCCAATGAGATGGACAAAGCAAGATTGCTTTGAAATATTTGAAGAACTGGAGAGTGCCTGGCTAATATTCATCCCTCAACCAACATCATAGAAAAAAAAAACTACCTGATCATGATTCTCAGTGCTCTGAGAGATCTTGCAGTGTGAAGATTAGCTGTGTTTCTCTACAATACTCTCAAAAAAAAACACAATTGGCCACAAAACAATTTGGAGATTGAGAAAAGCTCTATATAAATGAAAGACCTTTCTGTCCCTGTCCAAGTAAAAGTCCACTGCAGGAAGACGATGTTCAGTCTTTGAGGACCTGCTGTTCAATTGCAGCAATTGAATTTTTCATTTAAGTGAATTATTTTTCCAGAACACATCAGACATAGGTCCAGCTTTTCAAAATTGATGTTAATTAAAATGCCTCCACAATGAAAAAAATGGAACAATGAAAAGGTCATCAGATAGTAATGACTATTTCCCTCCTTAATCTGTATAATTTATACTTTCAAGGACCATTATAACTACACTTTCACCAATTTCCACAGGGAAACTAATTTTGAGGAAGGCAACAGAAATCAAATAAAACCGCAACGCATTTATCCACCTCCACATCTCCATGATTCAAATCTCATGAATAAAAAGAAGCTAATTAATTAACCAGGTGTTGATATGATTCACTGTCAGAATCTTAAATACAATTACTCATTTTTGTTGGACTAATGAATATTCATCAATGTATTCACAGTCTAATTACAAAAAGCTACTTTGGAGATTGCACCGACGTCAACTCTCATATGCTTTTCACTGCCATGTGTTATTTGGTAATTTGGTTGACTGCTGTATAGAATTGCATGAATATTTATAATTTAGATGTGGAAAAGGTTAAAGTTTAATCTTTCAATTCTATATAGGTTTTATTATCTGACTAAGCATTTTATAGTCAAACTTTCAAAAAAATGTTCAACAAAAAAAACATGACTTGTCAGCACAGGCTTGAGAAGAGCTATTCATGGATCCCAGGATAGTATAATACGGCAATGGTTGCAGATCCGATACACAAGAAGCTCAACACCATTTAGAACAAAGAAGCCTGCTTGATTAGCATCCTAACATATTCAACCTTCATTCCTTCCACCTCCAACAGTGGCAGCAGAATGTACCTTCTACACGAATCACTGCAACAACTCTGAGGTTGAGACACCACCACTGAAACCCACAATTTCAACTCGAGAAGAAAAGGCCAACAGCTACAAGCCACGCCATCTGACTTGTAATTACGTTGCAGTTTCTCCACTGTCACTAGGTCAAATTCTAGAATACACTCTCTTGTAGGTGTACTTGAATCATAGATTGCAGCAGTTTGAGGAAGCAGCTCATAACAATCTTAAGGGCAATTAGAAATAGGTAGTGATGTGCACATCCTAGGAATAAATAGAAAAATTCCTACTCAGCTGGATGGCAGAGAGATATTAGGGGAACTGGCATGATGAACTAACAAAGGCTGCAAACACAGGTCAAGGGTGAAGAGGAATAATTTTCATTTGTTACAATCATATCAAAATCACAGTTAACAACCCACAAGAGCTTTTTTGATGATTGGCAGGTAAAAAGTCACCATTATCCAACCAGACCACAGAGCTGCTCTCTCATTAGAAACACACAGCTGGTGGTGGTTTAACTTGAGGGTCACCATGCCTCCAGCAAGGGGAGAGGTCGGGAAGGAAAGTCGTTCATGGTAACCTCAGCCAGTGCAGGAATTGAGCCCAAGCTGTTGGTGTAACTATACAATGCAAACCAGCTGTGCAGCCAACTGAGTTAACCAACATTTGTGGCAGGAGAGGATGGTTGATTGGCGCTATGGAGATATTCTCAGAATAAATTCTCAATCTCAGAATAAAGGGGTGCCAATTTAAGACTGAGAAAAGAAGGCATTTCATCTGAGGGTTGAGTTCCTCCAGAACTCATTGCAGAGAGCTAAGAGGGCTGAGTCCTTATATATGTTGAAAGCAGAGCTAGATCGATTCTTGATCAGTAGGATAACCAGGATTTTGGGAAAAGGACAAGACCATGGACGTGAGGAATGTTGCATCAGCCATGATCCTATTGATTGGCAAAGCAGGCTTGAGGGCAGAACAGCCTTCTCCTTTTCCTATTTCTTATGGTTTTGCAAGTTTCAGTAATGGAATACTGAGAAAGTGGGGCATGAAGTTTGGAGGAAACACATTCAAGGACTTTAGAGGGAAGAGAAATTGGGGACGGCCCAACTGTTTGCAAGGCTGGAGGGGTAAAGAATTGAAGGAAAAATGAGCAGAACCCGGAGGACAGAGAACTACTAATATCATCTAATGTGGCTTGTTAGGAAGTGAAGTTGTGTACCTGAATATTTAATAGGGTTCACAGAGCAGGAGGTAGATCTCGTAGACAAGATGATCTCAGAGACCGTGTGGGAAGGTGGGAAACTAGAAACCAAGTTCAAGACATTGAGGGGTAAGGAAATTCAGCCTCCTGGGTTGCGGGGAATGATGTAATGGTCATTTACTATAGTCGTTGGCAAGGGTGACCCTTCCACTCTCAGGGTGAGTCCGTAGGTGGCTGTACAGACCAATGCAGCTTCCACAGACTCTACCACACTTGGGGCAAAAGGTGGTCGTGGGAAGGAGGGGGTGGGGTTTTGGTGTGGCGGCACACTCCTTTTGCTGTATTTGTCCAGCTTCCGCTTTTTCCTGACAGCAAGTCTTAAAGCACTCGACCCCTTCCCGGACGCTCCTCCTGTATTTTAGATGGCCTTGGGCCAGGGGTTGCAGGCATCGGTAGGAATTCCACACTATGCCTGTGAGGCCACAAGGATATTACTGAAGAGTTTCCTCTGTCCACCTGGGACATGCCTCTTGTTTCGGAGCTGGGAGTGGAGCACCTGTTTGGGGAGTCTCGTGTCAGTCACGCATACAACATGCCCAGTCCATCACAGCCGATCAAGGGTGGTCAGTGATTTGAAAACCACCAAAAAGGGAGGAGAGGGATCCTGTTTATGGAGGAGTTATTCTAACAGTCCCACTCATGAGGCAGCTGTTTTGATGAGGTAGGAAATGGCTACTTCAGTTAAGCTGAAGCTTCAGTTTGGGAAAATTCAGATGCAACCCCAGTTCCAGATCTGGGAATTCACACTCTGGATCTAGCCTATACAACATCAGATTGTCAGGAGTCAAGTATGTCCCAGTTACAGTTAGCCAACTCAATGTGGAATTTTCAACCCTGGGATCAGAGATAGCAAATAAAAATTTTAAAATAGGCTTAAACAAGAGGGTAAATCAAATTGTGAAAATAACTTTGTTTTTCAGGGTCTAGGTAGTGCTGCTATAGACTAATGTTATTTGCACGTAATCTTCAGATTTATAAATACAGTTCTCCTGCATGCATTGTGTGCAATTTTTAAAACTTAAACTCCCAGAAGTGGAACTTGCAATCAATTTTATGTCCACTCTAATTAATAAATGTTTAAGATTTTCACCTCAAGTGTTTATGTTGCATACATTGGCTTACTGAAGTGACATCTTCTTAACGGTTAATGATTCTTAATCACCATTTATGTGCTGAATGTTTGTACAATGTTGTACAAAAGTCACCTTGCTTATTAGCCTATTTTTGCAATAGAGGTTTGACATGGATCTAAAAGTTAGACTTCATTATGAAGTCCGAGTAACCTTTGCGTCACCTAAATCTTGACGTAATTCAAACAGTATTTGCTACATCATCTAACTCTGCACACATGCAATAAAATATACTAGCTCTTCCCCCTGCAGAAGGTGTTTACAGCAATGGCTGTGTAGAGGCTAGTCAATTATTTTGAACATCAACTTACCAGCATAAGAAATCAGGCATATGTCAATTTAAATATTGTTTAGGAAATTAAGTGTGTTGTGACTTTGAATAGATAAGACATTATTGACAAATTTTAATTTTGCACCCAAGACAGAATCCAAATAACCCATGTCAACACAAATACAGGAGAGTATTGTCAAGGGATGCAGTCACATTGCAGTTCGAGAAAATGAGAAGGAAGTGCTGAATACTGAAAAAAAGAGAAATTCTTAAGAGGCAATATTGAAAATTTTAATCTCTTGCTGCAAGGCACTTAGTCAAAACAATTATAACTTGTTTCCAAGCTATGGAAGAAAGAGCCCTAAATACTATGGCACTTGAAGCTACACTTCCTGGGCAGAAATCCCAATTATTCAAATATAGTCAGATTGTTAAATTTGCTTCTGAGGTGTTAAAACCCTTTCAAGATGTGATGACCAACTACTAAGGTTAGATGCATGGAAATAAAGAGCACCCTAAATGGGCAGACAGGGAGCATGGATGATAATTGGACATCAGTACCAGTTCTGCTCATCTCACTCTTCATGTCAGTCCCTGTAGCCATCTTCCTGGTGTCTTTCATTCATATTTGGTCTTAATCTCAGCTTTAAAATTTCCAATACAGGTTTTCTTACTGAGTTGATAAAGTATACTGATCAACCAAGTAAGTAAACATAATCTGTCTACCATAATCGCTATAACATTAATTCTCACTTCTTTAATTGCAAGCACTATTCTGCCAACTGGCATCCAACCACACTTTAGGCAGAGTATTGTAAGATATTCAGCATGCATTCCTTCAATTTTTTTTTGGAAGTTCCATTTCCCAGCACCTTAAAAGGTGTTGACGCATCTTTCATGTGTTGAAGCCTCATGCATCTTTCCTGCGTTCCAATTTCATATTAGTTTCCTCTTGCCCTATGCCATCAAGAGTAGCTTTGTTCAAAACATCTCCATTAGCAAAATTTCATTGATAATGAACTGTTTTGAAAAGCATAAAGTACAATGAACACTCCATACTTGGTCAAGCATTTTAATAGGTTTCTTGTTGAATACATTGACCATAATACTCCAGTTAATTTACAAAGGAATTATAAAGCTTACAAGTATGTTACAGTGATTTCAAAAAGTATATTTCATTTCTCAAATGGGGAAATGAATACATGCTTGGTTGCAAGGATACATGTGTACAAATACATCATAAACCTCTGAATACAGCAAACACCACCCTTTTATCAACTTAGCAGCTCAAGATTTTACATGAAGTACGTGATGTGCCTACTTTTAGGAATAGTCTTTACAACTACTATAGAATTCAAAATTACTGCTACACCTACAGCATAATGAGGAGTAAGCATTCTAGAGAAGCAATATCAATATCTAAAATAAACAATGCAACAGTTTTCACAGATTAAGGAAAATGACTGACAAATGTAAAACAATTAGGGCATAAGATACACTGCTTTCAGTGAATTAACGTTGGACAGTTCTCATCATCCTGCTAATCAAGACTTCTCTACCTTTAAAATGTGCAAGAAGTCTCTCACCTAGCTCACCTGCTTGACTGATGTAGAGTACAATGCAGATTCTAAAAGTGTGCCATTTGTAGACAGTGTCAGACAATTAGAAAGCTTTAAACAAAAAAGTTCTTCGGGTCAAACCTATGAATTGCTTTGATTTGAGAAGCTAGCTTCCAATTTTACAAATGGTTCTCAATGAGCAACTTGAGTGGGCAATGGGAAAAAAATACACCTTCAGAGAAAAAGATAGGTACAAAATACTAAACAATACATGTTGTAAATCCACGGTGTAGAAACTGGTCAATTCACCACTTGTCCTAGAAAGGTTGATTTAACACAGTGGGGTATATTATAAGTTGTTTTTTGTAATCTCAAGCTACAAAACTTTTTCCTTTAGTGGTATGCCGCTTGCTATTTTGTCAAAATAATTATGACAAAGCAGAACTTCCTTCTCTTTTAGGTGGCAAACAGAGATTAGAATAGCCAGCAAATTGCTGGGTTATGAACTGTCACACAGGAGGTGCATTAAACAGATTTACTGGAATTAATTGACACTATGTAAAATGGCTGCAATAAAAAAAAATCACAAACAGCCTCACATCTGTTAGTATAATGCATAATTTGGAAGACAACCTTTATAATTTGACAATCTGTACAAAAACTGGACTTGTTACAAATGGATTAACACTTTTTCCAATCAATCCTTCAGAATGGAGAAGGATAAGATTCACATAGCTCTCAGCTAATGCAAAGTTCAACTGCATTTTCTTCCAGGAGGATGCTCAAGAAACATATGGAAACGAGTTTCTATTCAGCTGCATGCATATTTAAAGTTAGTCAAAACAGCAGCTATATTGTCAATATTATGCCACATTAATGTTTTCCAATTACATGTTAATGAAAAGGGTGCACTTTATGGTACTTCCCTTCCCTATTTTCTCAACTATTCTAGAGAGTAAACAGCTTTAGAAGTTATGGTTAAATTAGTCTGGTCATCTTCCAGTAACCCACCCAAGTGTGCAATGATCGTGTGCGAGCATCCATGGTGAACATTTAAGTTATCTGACCACAGAAACATCAAATTCCTTGCATTCAAGTCCAAAAAGATGCACTACCAGCAGAGATAATAGATAGTTACTTAAATCAGGACACACTGGTAATTTTCATTTCCCTAATCTTGGATGCCTCAGTTGACAGCAGAATTTTAACAACTGGTCATGTAGGGAAGTAACCGAACAAACCATTAATATTCTTGATCTGTACACTTACACACTGGGAAGAATTTGCAGAATTTTGGGATTATGGACCAGTTAATTAGCTTTTACAATATTCTGTGCATGACAAAATAAACCAAACTTGAAAATTTGCAAGTAGAAAGTTCAGTGTGAACTTGCATGTTCTTAAATTTTAATACTACTTTAAAATTAACTTGGTTTCTTGGATAATAAAAAGCTGTGAAAGGTTCACCAAATTCTGTTTTAGATATCATACATATTGTGTCCAGTAAAAAGTAGAGGCAAAATACTTGCACTGTTCTTTATTAACTCAGTAAGACAAACTTCAGCGAATTTTGCAAGTAAAAGATCAATTTAAGTTAATTTAATGCCAGTTTCAGAACTTTGTCCTGAGCTCCAGTACACTAATCTCAATTGGCTAATTTGTTACAAAACATATTGTAATATGTGAAAAGTAGGTAAAATGTTACAAATCTTTTAACAGCATATCCAATGAGGGTTAATTTTTATCATTCTAGCTTAGTGTGGTACAGTTATAGATTTCTGGATTCCTAAGAGAATTAGAGTCCAATTAACAATATAGAAAGTTTGCTTCTAACATACTAAATACAAATTTGAAACTGGTAACCTTTGCATGTTAACTGTGCCCATGTAATTTCTAGCTTTATAATTAACTGAAATTTGTCAATTATAAAATCAGATGGTTATAGCATATGAGGTAATTGGACCTGTTAGCCTACTCCTATATGATCCAATCTGCATACTCACTTCCTTGAAACAATTACTGTTCTATCCAACAGGATATTTTGTAACTTCCATCTTCAAAAGAAAAGATTTCATGAGCAAATACTCAGCTGAAATAAACTACTGGCTTTTAAATTAATTGACTCTCAAACAAAATGTGGTGAACTGCTAGAGGTTTGCTGAAACAGCTAACTTTCAAGCATCAGATATAGGGATTTTACATTAGACTGCAAGACAATTTAGTTTATAAAACAGATTAGTGTGGTCACTTTTGGCTCAAATTGAAATGTGTACATAAAGGTAAATACAAGGTCATGTTGTGGAAGATAAAACAATCTCTTAAATGACATTAAGATTTTTAATTTCACTGGCTTAAATCAAAGGAAAGTCTTCCTTGAAAGTAGTACTGGTCAATAGATAGAATATTCTATGTATAATACATTTCAATGGCATTCCTATTGTCTTGGCATGTCTAAAAGGCACATTCTATAACCATCTACTACAGAAAAGGAGATGTAATAGGGATTTTGTTTTCTGGAATCTTTATAAACTTGTGTGGTGCTGAGCTACAAGACAAGACCTTCATAAATTGGTCCATCAGCTTCAGGTGATTCTCTCCTCAGACGCAGGTGCTCCAGTGTGTTGTGAAAGTGTTTGTTAATTTGCTCAGTTTCTTCACTGGATTCCAAGTTTGGGAGATCTTCCCTTATTTTTTGAATAAGCTGATTTAAAACTTGAATAGTCACCTGCATACAAAAGTTTAAGGGAAAGTTTGTAATATTTACATTAACTTTGAAAGCATTTTCCCCCTTTAATGCTGCACATTCAAATATGTCTAACTGAGATTACAGCCACATTCAGAAAGGAGCATCATGCAAACAACTGGATGATATCACCAAGGCAACTGGTAAATAAGTGGAAAGAAGCATGGTTTGATTCAAGATTGCATAGAGAAAAAATGTACAGTAATAGAAACCATTGTTAGGGATGCTCTGACTATGGTTACATAGTTCAGAACAAGGCAACCTGACTGAATTGGAGGATAATGTTAAATTCAGCTGTGTTAACAGTTGTGCAGAGGTCAAAAAAGTCAAAAAATGCAGCAATGTCTTACTGGACTTGAGGTGTTTTAATGTTTAGGTGGGGCAGAAATTAATGCATCAAATTCAAACTGTACTGTTCACATGAAATTCAAAAGATCTTCTCAAAATCATTCTGATCCTTGTCTTTCATCTCGCACAATCTTCATGGTGTTCATTTTCAATACATTCATCAAGTATATTTTTAAATGCTAAAAATGCCATGTATACAACTTGTTTCGTTGTCAAATCTCAAAAGGGTTGAGATTGGGGGAACTAGTACAAGAAATAGAAGATTAACAATGGTGACTGAAGATTGCATTGAAAAGGGTTGATGGGAGGAAAAAGCAGTGTCTCAAAACATAGGTCTCCCATGCGTAGCAGACTTGAAACACCTAACTCAGGCATCCGTCATTCAAGTAGGAATCAAAAAACATGACTATCCAGAAATGATGCGAACACTGAAAGTGGTGGTGCTGATGGTGATGGTGGTAATCACAACTAACATGATCGTGTGGATTTCAGGTGAGTTTACTGGATGGGGATCCCAAACAGGAATCGTGACTATTGTCCGCTGAAAAATGTGAAGTAACCAAAACCAATTGTTAACCATGTACGCCGCACCTCCATATTGTCCTGACTAGAAAGGAACATGCAACAGGTTTGTCTGCATGTCATAAAAAAAGTTAATAAGTATTGCTGTGTAAAACAATTTGAACCGAAAGAGAGGTCTTCTATGACTGGACAAAAAAAACCTTTTGCTCCCTAATAACATCTTGGGGAGATTTACACCAACCGGTTTTATTTTCACAGCTTATGACTTTTGCCCATCTATTTTCTTCACTGTGTCAACACACTTTAAAAAAACGCAAAGCCTGGTCATTAAACCCATTCACTGTTTTTAGATAAATATTTATGTAGCAAACTTTACTGCTCACTCTACCTTCTCCATGAGAACTATTCAGATCTGAAGGAAGTCAAATTCTTTTAATGATTTCTACTCAAAACATTAGTGTAATTTCTATTTTCAATGCTGAAGGGCCTGTGAGAGAACTCTCCAGCAAATGTAGTCCAAAATATGCAAAGCTGTGTCTCATTAGGATAGACGCTATCAATTGAGCACAGACCTTTAAAAGCAGTACTCACTTAGCCCACTTGACTTATAAGCGGAGAAGTTATCCATTTTAAAAAAGCCTACACATGCGAGCAGATTTTTAGTAAAGTGTGCTAAAAAAGGACAACTGTCAAAGTAAATAATGTAATAATCACTAGTTGAAGCTTACCGCCTCATTTTCTTTTTCATAAAAGTATATGTATCGATTAAGAATTTCAGTGAAGAGCTGTACTTGTAGCGATGGATCCATGCACTGATTGGCTATTTTCAAAGCCTTTTTAAGGCATTCCATCACTCTCTTGCCGTCGTGAATCTTTGAGGAGAAAATGGAAATTAAACAATTCAATGTGTTCAATTAAGCATCCAAAAACACAAAAGAAATAGCTCAATATATGATCACAGTGCCAGCAATTGTGTCCTTGGGTTATCCCAAGAACAATATACATGCAGCACTTTGTAATTAGAATATTTATTCGAAGAACAATTTCCTAATATTTCCAAGGTAGAGGTTTTAGGAAGTTACATTGTTAAGCCTACATCCATGTCACAAATTTAATCACCGAATACCAGTAAAGTACACAACATATTCTGGACATAGTGAAATACAAGTTTACTGATATGTAGGGCCCAAAATCAAAAATTTCTTAAATGCAGCTCCGGTTTTATGCACCACAGTATTACAATTGCATCTTGAAAAGATCAAAGTGGTGAACAACAATATTTTAAGTCGGCATTCCAATGCAACTTGAAAGTTCAAATTGTTGCATCGTATGGAGACATTGAGGGCAAAACTTCTAAGCCTTCTGAATATGCAGTCAAACTGAATACTCCTTCACTATTTAGATATTACTTATTTTGTAGAAAATAAATCCGGTATTTAATGCAATAATCTAAATGTTGAAAAGTGAAGTAAGTCTTATCAATATTTACAATTTTACAGCAAGCTCTTACAAAAGTTAATAAACACAAACATAAAAAGGCCTGATTACATTTAAGTAGTTTATTGATGGCTAAACATTTAAGTTCTTACCTCCTCTCCATTCTTATCAGTATTCCGCCCAGACCAAAATAAATGAGCACAGATGCTAACAGCACGACACTGATCTGGCTTCTTAAGCAACTTTGAAGCAGCCAGTGCACACTGTGTCCTCAAAGGCTCGTGGTTCTCTTCACTGAAGCATTTCATGCGCTCAAATGTCCCAATTATCAATGTAATTGCTGCTAGCTGCGCCTTGGAATCACTGATTTCATCTTCATACAGAGAGAATGCCTGGAAAATATGTTTCAGTAAAGTGTCATAATCACAAGACTTGGTACGACAGATTCAGAAAGCAGGCTTCAGTATAAAATTACACAACAATTGTGGCAAAAGTTGTTTGCTACAATTGTAACACGCTAATGCAGGAATTTATTTTGCTGGGAATTCTGAGACATGCAGGAGGAAAAGTCAAGTATTAATGACTCATTTTATAATAAAACAGTAACCAAAAAGTTTAGATCTTACTGCCAGAATTTCTTCCATTTGAACACCTTAAAAATTCCTGCCACACAAAAATGTTAATTCTTACCTGTGACATAAACTCATAAGCCACAGTTTCATGGTTCTCAAATCCAATATCCCCAGCTGCAAGTGCTCCCTGCAGAAACAGACGGAGAGGCAACTCTGCAAGTTCTGCTTTAATTAGGGCACTTATAGTCTGGTGGGCAAAAGAAAATATCTTCTGGCATTTCTTTTCCCATTTTTCATCCTAGAAGATGGAATAAACAAAGAGCTCAAGTTAAGAGGAACTTTGCAGCTAGTTTTTTTAAAAAGTTTGGTGACTCAACACAGGTCACAGCAATAAAATGTTTGGCATAAACTGCAATTAAACTGGCATTATTAAATCAATCTAATTTTACTCAATGGATTCAGATGAGTTGACTCCATAAATTCTCAGTATCAATTTGACCAATTTTGGAGAAAGAACTGATATTGCTTCAAAGAAGAGATACAAATCTTTAATTTGCTTTTATTTTCATCCCAAAATGATTTCTTAGAAGAAAGGAAACAAGGCAGAGAAGTTTCAGGAATTCCAAAGAATAGCACACATACAGGTGAAATCAACACTACAATGGTCAGAAGCATATAGAAAAAGTCAGAAACAAAACAAGAGAGTGTTTTGGGTGGAGGATCAGGTGCAGAGTGGAAAAGATTCAGCAGGTAGGTTGTGTTGAGTCCTTGTTGAGAGGTAAACCAGTTCTTTGAGGAATCTGAAGACAAGGACTTAAATAGTTCAGGGATGGTGATCCAATTCAGTGACAAGGCGGAGCGACATGGCTGACAAGCCAGAATGCATGCAGCATTTTAAACATCAAGATTTTATAGAGTATGAAGGACTAAAGGCTGGCAAGGAAAACAATCAAGTAATTAAGCCAGAAGTGTAAAGTGCAGCTATTGCGATTTCTGGAGCAAAAGAATTGAGAAAGGGATAGAAACTTATACATTATCAGTGAGATGGAGAAAATGTGATCTGAAACCAAGTTCCCAGTTGAATAGAATATGATGGAGGCCTCTGGTTGAGATGGAGGCAGATACCAGAAAAATCACTGAAAAATTTACTATTCAAGATGCAACTGGGACCAAATCTTATAAATGTAGATATACCCGTCAAACACTGGCTGAATTCATCGTAATTGCATCAGGTTACATTCCAAAGTAAGAAACAACTGTGTATTCATACTGCATCAACCTGTGTAAAATAACTGGTGTCAAAGCAAAGCAATGTGTGAACTATAAATTAGTCAAAGTATTTACCAGTGCAAGTCAGATCGCTAATCAACTTATAATGAACATGAATTCAGATCATGGAATCAGGTGAAATGCTTTGGCATGAATATTTAGAGTACCACTCAAATTCATTAATCACGTGAAACATGAAACAGTAAAGGGAGCTGGACAAATACAGGTCAGACAGCACAGGAGCAGAAAGTGAAAGTTTCAGGCCAAAACCCTTTGTCAGGGCAGTCTTGATGCTGTATGACTTGCTGCGTTTGTCCAGCTTCATGTTTATTGAATCACTAACAGTCCCCATTAACAACTATTCACCCTCCCAGCCTGATAGCTTACAACTCCTTTGTCTGTCCAACTGTCTCTCTCTCTTTGGGCTCTATCCTATCGTTTACTCCGTACCCCACCCAACTCCTATTTTCTGCATATAAACTGACATTTTCCCAGCCACCATCAGTTCTGAGGAAGGGTCACCGGACCTGAAACCTTAACTGTTTTTCCCTTCAGATGCTGCCAGACCTGCTGAGCTTTTCCAGCAACTTTCTTTTTGTCCATGTTTATTGACTCTGGCTTCCAGCAACTGCAGTCCTTACTGTCTTCTGAAACAGTAAAGCCTTTGATATGGTTCCACATGGTAGACTAATTAGTAAAGTTAGATTACATGGGATTCAGGGGGAGCTTGCCAATTGGATACAAAATTAGCTTGACAGTAAAAGACAGAGGGTGGTGAAGGGTTTTTTTTTTTGACTGGAGGCCTGTGATGAGTGGCTTTCCACAGGGATCGGTACTGGATCCACTTCTGTCTGTCATTTACATAAACAACTTGGATGAGAATGTAGGAGACATGGTTACTAAGTTTGCAGATAATACCAAAACAGTGAACAGTGAAAAAAGGTTATCTAAGATTTCAAAGAAATCTTGATCAATCAGTTCAATGGAGTCTGGACTGGCAGATGGAGTTTAATTTGGATAAATGCAAGGTATTGCATTTTGGTAAAACAAACAAGGGTAGGACTTATACAATTAATGGTAGGGCCCTAGGTAGTGTTGTAGGACAGAGAGACTTAGGGGTTCAAGTATATACTTTGTGATATGCATCACAGGTAGAGAGGGTGGTTAAGGCGGCATTTAGCATGCTTGCCTTCATTGCTCAGACTCGAGTATAGGAATTGGGATGTCATGTTGAGGTTGTACAGGACGTTGAAGCAGCCACTTTTGCAAACATTTTGTGCCATTCTCATCACCCTGCTATAGGAAGGATATTTTTAAAGTGGAGAGGGTGCAGAAAAGACTTACCAGGATGTTGCTGGGAATGGAGAGTTTGAGTTAGGAGAGGCTGAACACAGAAGGTTGAGGGGTGACCTTATAGATGTTTATAAGGTCAGAAGGGGCATAGATAAGGTGAATAGAAAAGGTCTTTGGCCTAGGGTGAGGGAGCTAAACGAACTGCCAGAGGAAGTGGTAGATGAAGGTACAGTTACAACATTTAAAAGACATTTGGACAGGTACACGAATTGGAAAGGTTCAAAGGGATATGGCCAAACACAGGTAAATGGGACAAGTTTAGTTTGGGAAACTTGGTCATGGATGAGTTGGACCAAAGGGTCTGTTGCCATGCTGTATGACTCCATGATTATATTACTCACGACCAACATTAAAAAGTAAAATTAATTTCAATGCGCATCTTGAAGTTGAATGTTTTATAATAGAAATATAAACAAGCTTAAACTCAGCTACTTACACACAAACATTTTTACAAAACAATATTTTTAAGGTAGATTGATCCTTAACTTTCAGCAGATCAGGGAGAAGTTCTATTAGGTGTTCACCTTAGTTGAACACCACTTGTGGATGGGTTGCACAAAGATAAAGCAATTCTTGCAATAAAATTCTCTATTTGTACTCAAAGTCACTGGCAACACTACACAGAATGAAAGCCCACTTACAGAAAGGATAATAACGCTAAATGCAGGCCACTAAATAAAACAAATTTAAATTGCAACTCAACAGTAAATATCAAGTCCCGTTCACAATTTTTAACTTCATTTTTGCAATGGAAATTGTGCAACGATTTTATAGCTTATTTTGTCTCATCTAACACAACCATCTTTGCTGCCATTGGTGAAGGTGGTCATTACAGCAAGTTAACTAAAAAGGTAGGAAATACTAATGCTATACAGTGAAGAAATTTGAGTGACAAACTCTTCAATGCAGATACAGAGAAAACACTCAACCTATTACACCTGTGCCAGATTTTTGGATTGCTTTAGGAATAATCAGGGACCTGTAAACAAGAACTACAAAGTCTCCCATGTTTCTCTATACTTCTCCTTTCTCATTAAGAAGAAAATAACCACATTTAGTATCATCTGCAATTACTAACCTCTTTTTCCCCCTGTGGTATTCTAAATTGATGATCTCTCATCACAAACTCTCAACTAGAAAGGTTTTGATAGATAATCTAGAACACCTTTTATAATTACAACATTATTAAACTTCCTTTTATCTTCTCTACTCCAGTGAAGATAGTCTCTCCTCACTAACTGTGGTTTGCTATTCCTACCACTATCCAAGTAAATCTACACAAAATGCTATGGTCTTTTTTTATTAAAAACTATTGGGGCCATTTTTACAATTTTGAGATTGTATTCCAAGTCTAAGCACTCAAATATGCATTGATTAACCAGACCTCCCACCCCAACTCAATTAATATTGCTTGAAATGATTTAATTTTTTTTATCATAAGCACCTAGACCTTCAACTTTTAAATCAAAGTGACCAAGGTGGTATATATTCTGGACCTGATGGCCACAAAGAGAATAATATCAATTTGAGTTCTGATAATCCAACAGTAGAAAAGATCCATTCTTCTCGTTAATAATTTTAAAAAAAAAAACACTTATTAAAAGCTTCCAGCTCACCACTTTTGAATTTTCTTTGTAGCAGAAGGCCAGCTGGTAGGCAGAAAAAACCAATGGTGGCAAAGTGAAACGAATCCTTTGATTCCCGCCAGCACCAAAATGTTTTCTGGCAGTGTTTAAGATCTGTTTAAAGAAAGATGACATGAAACAAAAAAAAAAATCACTTTAAAAAATACACTTTCATTTCAAACAAAGATATACGACACTTCCTTTGTAGAGTATATTTAATCTGAAGCCATATATCAAGTTTACACATAAAATTGGGAATGGTAGCAAATTTCCATCAATTTTTGATGGCAAGAGCTTTAGTAGTGACTAAATAGAGTAGAAATACCTCTTTTTAAATTTTAAAATTTAGGCCAAATGAGATCCAATAATCAGATATAATTAAATTTAAACACACAAGTACTTCTATTAGCATAAATCCGTTTTGACATACAAGAAGTGTCCCTTCCATTTCCATAGCAGTCCTTACGAAAAAGCACTTTTTAAAAAGACATGCATCAATGTTCAATGTTATATATTCAAGCTTCCATTCTTCCTTCGATCAGGAAATTGGAGGACTGGGACAATTTGCTGCAAACATGTAACATTTATAGCACATCCATGCCCTCACTATAGTGCAGACATTCCAGGATATTACGACAAATGGCATGCCACAACATACATTATGCCAGAACTTGCAAGGACTTCTACAGTCCCCCACTGAAACTTTTTTTTTTTAAAAACACAATCTAAGGATCTAATTACCACAGCTCCATCCTACAACAAAACTGTGCTCTCTGAATTAATGGCGCCATGACTGCCACAGAGATACTGAGAGAATTACAGAATGGCACTGATGGCTTGTTGCAACAACAGTCATTTTGTTTATATTAAGAAACAACTGTTACCATCCGAAGGGTCTAGGCCCGAAACATCAGCTTTCCTGCTCCTATGATGCTGCTTGGCCTGCTGTGTTCATCTAGCTCTACACCTTGTTATCTCTGTTACCATCCTAAATTGCTTTATGCAGTTTACAGTAACCAGCACACACATTTCTGGAAAGTGTAATCTGCCAGTTTTAAATTGTAAATTACTATCCAATGTGTGGGTTTTTTTTTGCAGTTCAGATATTAACCCTCTGCAATGCAAATATAAAACTTATTGATGTCAATGTACACATTTACATCTTGTTAAAATCCAAGCAGTAAATCAAGAACAATATTGAGAACACAGTCTGCCAGTCAACTGAAGTTAAGAAACAAAACACTACAGCTGCTGGAAATCAGAAAACAAAACATAAATGCTGTACCATAAAAATCGGTCAGGCAGCATCTGTGGGGATGAACAGAATTAACATTTAAGTAGGTGACCAGAACTCCAGCTTGGATGAAAGGTCACTGGTCTGGAATGTGTCTCTTCACAATTACCTGATTTGATCAGTATTTTTAGCATTTTTTTGTACATTGAAGACTAAGAGACTCTGGTTTCTTTGTAGAAACTCAACGCGAAGGTGATAGTCACTGTTCCAACTAATAAACTAACTAGACAGACTTGAATTAAAATAACCCTCCGGACAGATCAGCTCCTTCTAATTTGAGTTTGCAGTCTTTTCTCCCCATCTAGTCAACCTTTCAAACATATTTCAAAATTTTCCATGCCACAGCAGATACTGATCATTTTGATTATTGCCTTCTCTGCTCTTGAAGATTGTGTCATATTCTAATTAACTTCACTAACAAATTAAGGCTCACATTTGCACCGATGAAATGGAAATAAAACTGCTTCACTGACAGCATTCATTACTAATATTAATATTGGCTCCTACTCAGCATCTACCAAATTGAATCTTAAACTGCTTTAAATAGTTCTCACTGTAACAGCATTAGTCAAGTTACTTTTCACACTACAAATGTAGACAGACAGACAGACAGACAGACAGACAGACAGTCTTCAGCAGTGTAAAGAAGATACCCTCAAGAAAACCAGAGGGAATGCTGTGCTTTAAGGACATCTTCAGATATGCTATCTTAATTTCGAATGTAAATTGTCACAGCTTTCAACAAGTAAAGAAGTTATACCATCAGCTGCAGGATTTTTAGCCTTGCACTGAATTTTATTTATTGAGTGACCTGTTATGATCAAGAAGGAACTTTGTACTTCTGTTACTTAAGCAGTATGAGCTTTGATACTGTGGACTGACTGAAATAAGCAAATAGGTAACGATCAGTTACTCTCAAATTCAATAACTGACCAGATTCAAAATTCAAATTAGCAGGATTTTGTTGTTTCTTTAAAACAAATCATTAACTTGAAGAGGCCAATTATTTGCAGCATTTATCAAAAAATGTCACTATGAATAATTTTATGGAGTGCAACCTTGTTATCTTGGTAGTGCTAACATAAATTCCTCAAGCTTAGTTCAGCAGAATTAATGGACTATGTCTCAACATTTCACATTTAGAACAATATATACTTCGAATTGGTTTAAACTGTAAAACAATCAAATAGGTCAGATAAAGCGATTTACTTAGAGCTTAAATTCACCCGTTGTGTTACATGTTACACTGCCTCGTCAGTCCACTACATCTACTTCATGTCAAAACTTGACATATTTCTCAAAACAAAGAGATATTACACATGGCTCAGATTCAATACAGAAGAAAATATGGAAGGGAAAGAACTACAAACATCTAATAACACACCGAATTTTCCATCCTTTAAATTGATGGGGATAAATAGATGTTTTGGCAACAGATAAGCAATTTCCCTTTCCACTGCAACCACATTTCCCTTTGGACTCCACTCAAGAGACTCAACGCCAAGGCAGTAAAGACAAAATTTTACCTTAATGATTTGCCAGAAGACAAAATAATTAGACATAACGTACTCACCCTCATATTTTTGTATGTATTTTCCATTTTACCAATGTGCAAGCCTTGCACATTAAAACCACATTTATGCAGTACAAGCATTCAAGACTAGGTTTTGATCAAGCACTGGTTTTGAACAATCACCATCCTAGGAATATGGGAGCTGAGGGGAACTGGCTCAAGATGCTTTTGTATACTATTATCAGCTGGCTTCAGACAGCACTGGGTGCTCTTCCAAAAAAAAAAAGCATTCCATTATTCAGCTATGGACGGGCTTTGGTTCAGGCAGTCCAACAGGCAGAAGCAATTTGCTTTAATTTTGTTCCAAAGCTAGATATTTCACAATTCTGTAAACTGTCAAGTTTAGGCACACAAGTTTTCATAATCCCATTTGGGATTTCCCTTGGTGAAATCTTGCTCTAATTTTACATAACCAAGTGACTATTGGAAAGTTTTTAAACAAACACTGAGAAGTTGCACTATAGCATTATCTTTATTCTTATGAATATTAACTCAGTTCAGGATTTCCAAGTTCTAAATGACAATTCCATAACATGGATATGATCAAAATCTCCAAACTACCTAGTTACACCAGGACAGTGAATCTCATAGCTCATCAACCAAATACTAGTATCAAAATTCGTTTGTCAGAACTCGGAATTCCTGACAAAGAAAAAAAGTCATGGTAAGAACATCAAAAAGGGGCACTTATTTTGAGAGGTAAATGGAAGGAAAATATTTGCCATAAATGCCTCAAAACCAAAAGCAGGCAAAATCTTTTCATTTATTTACAAAAGGAAAGAATAAGACCTAAAGCCATCAAGTTAACATACCAGATACTGTTGGTCAGGATCTTCAGATTGAAATAAATGAATAAATCTACCAACAAGACTTTGCTCTTCAGCAAAATCTTCTGGGTCAGGATCTTCTGCTGGCTGATCTGGTTGATCCTGAATCAATGTCGACACCAGGTTCAGTATTGCATCAACCTGTATAAGGAAAATGGCATCTATGAAAACAGAACAACTCTACAACTTTACACAAAGTCTCAATTAATATGCAAAACCACCACTGGCCAAAAACACTCAATTCTGCAAGTACTCAGATGAAACAACATCTGCATAGTGAAATAACTTGATCAATCTGAAACATTAGCTCAGTCTTTCCATCCATAGATGCTGAGACACCTGTTGAGTATCTCCAGCATCCACATTATTTTCTTGGCTAGATGATCCAATGCATCACTGAGAAACATCATTTTGCCTTCTCTGAAAAACACAGCGTGGCCCTTCAGATACTGAAACAGTCTATGCCTAAATGCAGCAAGACATGGGCAATATCCAGCTTTGAGGTGAAAAAATAGCAAGTAACATTCATATCACACAAGCGTCAGGCAACTACCATCTTCAACAAGAGAGAGTATACACATTGCTCCCTGATATTCAGGCACCATTGCTGAATCCTCTGAGGGTTACTATTGACTACAAACTGAACTAGACAAGTAGCTACAGAATTTACATGACAACAGCAGAGTCTAGAAATCCTGTAGTAACTCACCTCCTGACTCCCTAAAGCCTGTCCATTGTCAAGTCAGGAGTGCGATGGAATACTCCCACTTGCCTGGATGACTACAGCTCCAACAAAACAAAATGCTTGACACCAAAAAGAAAGCAGCCCATTTCATGGGCACCACATTCACAAAGGTACCTCTCAAAAGGTTAAGTTGTAAGCTAACAGCCCACGGTGTTGCAGGGTGTATATCAGCATGAATAGAGAATTGGGAGGAAACAGTGTGGGGAATAAGGGGTTCTTCTCCAGGCTGGCGATCTGTGACCAATGGGGTTCAATCAGGATCAGTGCTGGGATTGCAACTGTTTACAATATATTAATGACTTGGAGAAAGGAAGCGAGTGTAATGTAACCAAATTTGCACACAACAAAAAGGTGAAAAGGCTGGTTGTAAGAGGGATATAAACACATTGATAGGTTAAGTGGGCAAAAAGTTGGCAAATGGAGAAATGTGAAGATGTTCATTTCAGAAGATAACAAGAAGAACAGAGCATTGTTTAAATGAAGAAAAAACAAAAAACCTGGAAAAGGAACTGACATGTGCATGAAACACAAAGCTAGCACACAGGTGCAGCAGGGAATCGATAAGGCTAATGGAATGATGGCTCTTATTTCAAGGGGATAGAGTATAAGAGTAGGGAAATTTTACTGCAACTGGATCAACCCATTGTCCTATTGAACGCTAAACTTATCGCAGGCTTGATGAGTTGAACGGTCTACTCCTGTTTCTATTTCTTATGGTCTTCACTCCCTTCAGTTCCACAGTAGCAGTGGCGTGCACCGTCTACAAGATGTACCGACAAAATTAATCAAGGCTCTTTTAGACAGCATCTTCCAAACCCACGATAAAGACAGGGTAGACAAGAAAAGCAGATACATGGGAACACCATGATGTGCAAGCTCCCCTCCAAGCTACTCACTCATCATCCCAACTTTTAAATATATCACTGTTCCTTCAGGGCCATTTGGCCATAAAATTGTACTTTTTTTTAAAATTCATTGAATCCCTACAGTGTGGAAACAGGCCCTTCGGCCCAACAAGTCCACAATGACCCTCTGAGCATCCTACCCAGACCCACCCTGCTATAACCCAACTAATCTACTCAGCCCTGAATACTATGGGCAATTTAGCATGGCCAATCCACCTAGCCTGCACATCTTTGGAATGTAGGATGAAACTGGAGCAACCGGAGGAAACCCACATAGACACGGGGAGAATGCGCAAACTCTACAGACAGTCGCCCGAGGGTGGAATCGAACCTGGGTCCCTAGCGCTGTGAAGCAGCAGTGCTAACTACTGATCCTCTGTGCCACCCCTAATACTGAAACTTTTTTTTCCACAATCTTAGGTTAAGAGGCATAACTGAGTAAATAAGTTTCTTTTAATGCACTATTCAAATATTTATTGCTTTATCAAATCTATAAGATTTAGAATTTATATACAGCTTTACAGAACACAATGATAACTCTCAAAACAATAAATACCTATGAACACCGCAACCTTCCAGAGGGAACCTTTTAATCAAAATTATCAAAATTTAGAGTGAAGGAAATTCTGAAAGTTTCGGGGGGGTGGGGAGTGCATTTGCAGTTGATCATGTTAAATCATTACGTGTTAGCCTTTCAAAGCAAAAACAGTGCATAGAAACAATAAAGGAAGTAATGGATAATCTCATGTAAATTAAATTCTCCAGCCCTTTGACACTTCTTTACATATTTTTCCTCCACTTAAAATGCACCCCCACCAGCTCCCAAAGAGGTGAGAAATTCTTTGCTATGCAAATTAATTTGGAAAGAAAGCTAACTCCCTTGGAGGAGATAGTAGGAACTGCAGATGCTGGAGAATCCGTGACAACAAGGTGCAGGACTGGATGAACACAGCAGGCCAAGCAGCATCACAGGAGCAGAAAGGCTGACGTTTCGGGCCTAGACCCTTCATCAGAAAAGGGGGAGGGGAAGGGGGTTCTGAAATAAATAGGGAAAAAGAGTGGGAGGCGGATAGAAGATGGATAGAGGAGAGGAAACAAACAGGTCGAAGAGGCGGGGATGGAGCCAGTAAAGGTGAGTGTAGGTGGGGAGTTAGGGAGGGGATAGGTCAGTCCAGGGAGGACGGACAGGTCAAGGGGGCGGGATGAGGTTAGTCGGTAGGAGATGGGGGTGCGGCTTGAGGTAGGAGGAAGAACAGTTTAGGGAGGCGGGGATGAGCTGGACTGGTTTTGGGATGCGGTAGAGGGAGGGGAGATTTTGAAGCTTGTGAAATCCACATTGATACCATTGGGCTGCAGGGTTCCCAAGCGGAATATGAGTTGCTGTTCCTGCAACCTTTGGCTGGCATCGTTGTGACACTGCAGGAGGCCCAGGATGGACATGTCGTCTGAGGAATGGGAGGGGGAGTTGAAATGGTTCGCGACTGGGAGGTGCAGTTGTTTATTGCGAACCGAGCGTAGGTGTTCTGCAAAGCGGTCCCCGAGCCTCCGCTTGGTTTCCCCGATGTAGCGGAAGCCACACCGGGTACAGCGGATGCAGTATACCACATTGGCAGAT